GGCCTGTGAGAGGTTGAGGTGCGAGCCCTGGAGGCCTGGGGATGGGGGGGGACTACCCGCGGGCTTAGAAGGCCCGCGCGCAGGTGGGTGGGGCATTGAGACCGGTCATGAATGAGTGCGCGACACGCATGTTGCGAGCAGCGTTGTTGATGTTTTGGTTGCGCGTCGCCACAGACGGCGGCGCGCGAGAGCTGTTGCAAGTGGTGTTGGGCGAAGCCCCGGGCGCTGCCGGAGGCTGTGCCGTAGTCGGTGCGGTCGACGGCGCTCGGGCTGCCGACCTCTTTGGCTCACACTACGGGCGGCCAGGAGCCAGGAGGGGCTGAAGACACTGCGTTGGGTCCAAGGCACGAGCACGATGCGTGCATGCATGGTTCCAGTGACGCGCTATTGCACAGGAGGCGGATGATGCACGAACTCCACGCCTCCCTTGCGAAGGCCGGTCGGCGGCCGGCCTCGCCGACGGCCTCGCTGTTGGCTGCTTCGCCGATAGCTCCGCTGTCGGCTCTCTCGCCGTCGCTCGAGTTGCCGATGGCTCTGTCGCCATCGCTCGACTCGACGGCCTCGCCGACGGCCTCGCTGTCGGCTGCTTCGCCGATAGCTCCGCTGTCGGCTCTCTCGCCGTCGCTCGAGTTGCCGACGGCTCTGTCGCCGTCGCTCGACTCGACGGCCTCGCCGACGGCCTCGCTGTCGGCTGCTTCGCCGATAGCTCCGCTGTCGGCTCTCTCGCCGTCGCTCGAGTTGCCGACGGCTCTGTCGCCGTCGCTCGACTCGACGGCCTCGCCGATGACAGTGCCGTCGCTCTTGCCGTTGCTCCTTTCGTTGGCCACTGCGCTGACGACTCCGTTGCTGCCGCCGCTCGACTCCACTACGGCGCCGATGACGCCATCGGCCTCTCTGCCGCCGCTCCACTCAACGGTGGCGCCGATAGCACCGTCGGCCTCGGCCTCTCTGCCGCCGCTCCACTGGACGGTGGCTCCGATAGCACCATCGGTCTCTCTGCCGAGGCTCGTGTCGACGACCTCGCCTGTAGCCTCTACAGCGTCGTCGGCTCTTTCGTCGTCACCTTCATCGGTGGCATCAGCGTGTCCCTCCCTCCACTCACGCTCTCTCCCAGTCCTTTCTGGTCCAGTGCCCGTCTTCTCCGCCCGCCGTCGGGCCGACCCTCGTGTCGTTTCCTAAGACGTTTCACCTAGAGCAGGGCGACGCGCCCCACGCCTGCCTGTGAGTCGGGTGGGGCTTGTATTTTTTTTTCACGTGTACACGTGTAGATAAAAAGATAAGCGGGCCGTTGGGTCCGTTAGAGTAACCGCGTCTCGACACGTGTGTACGTGTGTGTGCTGTGTCGTCTCTCACCACGATCCACGTACGTTCTCTTTTGCATCGCACTTCGGGCACACAAGAAGCAAGCTCACACTCACAAGAGGGCAGCCCTAACGTCACAACACCTCCACCGACGGCAGCTGGCCGCGCGGTTGCCGAGACTCGCGCCGCAGCAGGGCGCGCCAGCTGCGCTCGGCAGCCTTCGCCTCGCCGAGCATGCTGGCGAGCTGCTTCGCGCCGAATAGGCGCGCCGCGTGCTGCGCCGCGAGGGGGTACGCCCCCTGAAAGAGGTCGAAGTCCTTGTCGCCGGTCAGGGCGATGCCTTCGAGCACGGAGCCAGATGAGCCGAGATGAGCCGAGATGTAGCCGAGATGAGCCGAGCTAGCCCAGATGTAGCCGAACTGAGCCGAGGAGCCGAGATGCGCCGAGATGAGCCGAGCTGAGCCGAGATGAGCTGAGCCGAGATGAAACGAGATGGGCCGAGATGCGCCGAAGTGACGAACCGTGAGACTTGCCGAGATGCGCCGAGATGCGCCGAGATGCGCCGAGATCCGTCGAGATGCGCCGAGATGCGCCGAGAT